AGGCCACACTTACTTCAACAGGCCACATCTAGTAATGCCAATCCCTGTGAGCCTATGGGGGCCATTTTTATTCAAACCACCACATGTACATTTTTAACCCTGTCTCAGAGACAAACAGAATAAACAAACAAACAAAAAACCTTTTTTTTTCTCTCTCTCTTTTTTAATTTTATTTTTTGGGAGGGGAGTAGGGTAGGGCTTTGAGACAGGGTTTTTCTGTAGAGCCTTGGCTGTCCTGGAACTCACTATGTAGGCTCAGGTAGCCTTAAACTCAGATCCATTTGCCTGCCTCTGCCTCCTGAGCACTGGGATTGAAGGTGTGCAGCACTGTTCCCAGTTTCTTTACAGTTTTTGATTTAGTGACTTGGTTAGAGTCCAGCCTGACCTTGAACTCATACCCTTGCCACCCAAGTGCTAGAATAACAGGTGTTCACTACCACACCTGGCTTCTTTGTGAAAGTTGTTATGTTAAGGAAGATTTAAGTTTGTGTTCTTGTGGTTATTTTCATCCTTGAACAGTTTTTTTAATTTTTATTTTTTATGTACATTGGTGTTTTGTCTCCATATGTAAAGGGGTCAGGTCCCCTGGAACAGGAATTATAGACAATGGTGAGCTGCCTTGTGAGTGCTGGGAATTGAACCAGGTCCTTTGGAAGAGCAGATAGTGCTCTTAACCACTGAACCATCTCTTCAGCCCCTTAAACAGTTTTTAAATGTCCCTAGTTTCATAGTTGTTTCTTTAATGCAATTGTTAGGATTTATGTAGTGGAGTTATACAGAGGGTTAGGGAATCATGCCACATGACAAGGTTCCACATGGGAGGTTTTATTAGGGGAAGGGGAGGGGTTACAGAAACAGTCTGTAGGTAAGGGGAGATGGGGGGCCAATTCCTTTTCTAAGGTGATCCAGCACATGTGCAGGATGAGCAGGTGTTTGTGTTGCAGGTGCTGAAGGGTCCTATTGCTGCTGAATTTCTGGAGGTAGCCTTAGAGATGCCTGATGTCCCTCTTGTCGGGTTTCCGGGGAGCTTGGCCATAGAGATGCCTGTTTACTAATTCCAGTAGTAACGATGTTTTCTTTTCACACCTTCTGTCTCCCCTTATCACTTAAGATCCTGTGAGGTTGGCCTCCTTTTAGCTGTTTTCCTTTTCAGCTAGAGGCTAACTGAACCTGTGTCTTACATGAAGGAGATGAAGCCAGCCTCCAGCAACTCAGCTGCGCTTCTTGCTGCTGTCATCTGGTGGTGGTTGATCACATTGTCCTGATTTGTGTGTTGGCTACAGGCATAGGTGCCATGTTTTCTCTTGTCTTAGTAAGTTACTTAATCATTGAGAGCTATTGTCACTGTCATCATGCCCCTTGGCCCTTGCTATGCTGTAAGCCTTGGTCTTTCTGTTTACATAGTTGCAGACTTTCTTTGCATGACTGCCTTTCTGACCCTGTCATTCTTTTTCCTTCTCTTTTTCTTTCTCCTTTTCCTGGACTTGCTCAGCACTCCTTATTGTATGTTCACACTGGCCCCTTCTCCCTGAGGTGATTCTGTCTCTCCTCTCTGTGAGGTCAGTGCTTCTGAACTCTTGAGCCTCTGGGTCCTGCTGCTCATAGACCCTTGGTCACCTCTGCTTGACCAGGAACTAGTCTGTGGCAGTGTTCTACCTCCCCAAAGTGGCACCTGGGTGTTGTTACTTGTGGGGTGATGGCACCCTCTCCTGGTGGTTCTGGGAACTCTATCTCTGTCGTACCACATCTTGCTGTGATTGCTCAGGACCTGCCAGTGTCTATGCCAGTGACTATAGATGCTTGTTTTACAGACCCTGAACCTCTCTCATTTCTTCCCCTTCATTTTTCCCATGTGTGGAAGGTTCTTTTTTGCCATCTGAGGAGCCACTGCAACCTTGAGGGATCCTTTCTCGCTGCCTGTGTTTGGACCACCTGCATACTTCTCGTAGGCTCCTTCCAATCTCAAGTCTCCCACATTTGTCCCTATTTATGAGCAGCCTTGTTGGGAGTGTGGTCATGCTCTAGGTGTAGGATCCTCTCTTCTAACAACCCTGCCTTTGTGTGCAGCTGTTTTTTTTTCAGGGGGTTCACAAGTGCTTTGCAGTGGGGAGGTGGCCAGGCTCTCTGTTGCTGAGCCCTTTAGAATTGATGTCATTTCTTAGCGGGCTTCTGGGTGTTCATGAATGTTGTTCAAATGTTTTACAGGTGAGCACAGACACTCTCAGTACTATGTAGGCCACTCTCCCAAACGTTCCTCTCACCCAATGGCTTGCCATCACCTATCTGGTCAGGAGACACTGATGCAGATTCGCGGTCTTACAGATTTTTTTCAGGAACCGTCACTCCGTTCTGGGGTTCAGAGCTCTAGTCTATTACTGGAATAAGACTCCTTGGTGAAGAAAAAGAATCAGATTGCAGCATTGTAGCCCTGCAGCTTTGGGGTGGAGCTAAAGCCTAGTGCTTCCTTTCAGATAAGTACTTTTTGCTGCATAGGCCCTGTGTATAGTAGGCTGGCCTTGATAGAGCAAGCTAGATAGCCAAGAAAGACACTTACCCTTTATTTAGTCCTTTCAGTAGCCTTTTTTGAGGGCCAGGTGAGTAAACACAGCAGTACAACCCAGGAGGCACAGACTCATAGACCAGGGAGAGTTTCCCTGGTATCTCTACCTTGTGTGTTCTCATCTCTGTCTGTGTGTCCATGACAATCCTTGATATATCTCAGAGAATTGTCAGAACTGTAGTTACGATGTTAAGGTTTCAGCTTTTATGTGGGTGTTAGCAAATGCCTTGTTCCTATGGATCCCTGTATCTGCTTGGGCTCTGAGCAGAAGCTTCAAACCTAGTAGCCAGGAATAATGTTCACTCCATCCCTAGCTCTCCTTGGACCCCCAGCTAAGGTTCCCCAGGGGCCTCCGAGACACCACTTGCTGGGTGACCTGTGTGTCCTCTCATAGCCCACGAGGATTTTGGATATACTTTGGTGCCACACAGTCTTCTAAGGACCATTCTCACTCAGGTCAGTTGGCTGTAGTCCTGAGAAGGTTAGGCTCTTCTTGCTGTGGCCAACCCTGCACATGCTCAGAAATGGGTGCAGTACTCAGTGTGCTGTGCCTCCACTTGCACTTGGGTTTTTACAACTGAAGCTACATCCTGTTGCTTATGAAGCCCTCAGAACACAAGTGAGAATTTGTGTTGTGGTCTCACCTGGCCAACTACCCCTCAGGCTGAGTGGGTCCAGCAGTGACAGCTGTGCCACCAGGCTCAGGTTGGATGTGACTACATGAAGCTCTTTGGGCCTCAACAGTGTCAACACTAGCTCATCAGCAAGTTTGGGTACCAGTTTGATCCTGTTTGTCTCAATTTCTAACTTTTAGCGCTTCTTAAATATTGCATCTAAGATGAATGCTTCCCTTTCATCCCAAGCCCTGGTGTGTTGGCTGTTGAACCTGAAAGTAGAGGCATGAAATACAGCCTGGACACTGGCTGCAGACTCATCCTGCTGCCCAGGTGGGGTCTCTGTGGGCCTGGGCACCACATCGTCACCGCCTGAGTTTCTTTGGGCCTAGAGTCAGGGTGATTCTGGTCAGACGTATAGCAAGTGCAAGAAGAGTGGAGCGCACATCTGGAGGCAGTTTGGATCTGACCTGCTATAATGCTCCGGACCTGTCAACTCTGCCCGTCTTAGCAGCCTTCTCCTTTTGCTGCTCCTGTTGCAGACCCTCCTTCTTTACTGGCTTTCCTCCCAGAAACTCACCTGTTGCTCTTGTGCAGACCATCAGGACCCCCTGTGAAGGAAACTTACGTGCCTGTTGGCCTAGCTGCAGCCTGAGGTGGCTGTGGGGAGATGGACTGGTTTCCTCATTCCTACTGACTGTTTGTTTTCACTGTGGTCCTTTAAGAGGCCACATGATCTCATGAGGGAACGCTTCTTGGGGGCTGTTACTATAACAAAATCCAAGGAGATTGTCTACTGAAAGGATATGGCTACCAAGGTGGTGATGGAGGCTGGACGAAAAGATGGACAGTGGTGGCTCCCACCATCTGCAGAAAAGTACCCCGTCTTCAGTTGCACTGCTATATGCATGAAGAAACTGTGGCCAGGTCATGCAGGCACACTTGGCATCTGGGCCCTGTGGCCTCCTGAGTAGATCGTGGCACTTCCAGTTTCTAAGCTTGACTGTGGAAGCAGAGTAAGGACACCACTGCAGCCTGTATACTTGAATATGGATGAGCAGTTTAACCAGCAGGACAAACACCCTGTTCTTTACTGAGCAGAAGAGGAGAGCTGTCCAGTGGGATCGTGTGGTTTGAGCCCAGCGAGGGTCAAATGGAGGCAGTGATGAGATAAACTGCTGATGCCGCTGCTCTGCTTAGTGGTCAGAAAGCCTGCCCTCAAGCATCCATGTCTCTGAGCAGGAAGAAACTGGGCTGGGCTCGCTGGATAGCTGGTGGCCCAGGGAATGGGTCTGCAGCAGGGCCCACTCAGGAGAGCAGGGAGCCCCCTTCCCTTGGATCACCGTCATGACCACTGAGCAGTCGGCCTCTCCAGCTGACCAGCAGCTCGCCTAGCCCAAGAATTCAGGCCTAGTGCTTCTGTCAGCCAAGCAGGGATGGCACAGTCCCAGGTGTGGCATCCAGTGTGTCTTTGGTCCCTTCACCTGAGCCTCTTGGGCAGTATTGTGCTGTGGTGATATGGAAATTGGGGGCTGCACGCTTCAGATCCTCTGGATGGGAGCCACTGCTCTGTCTTCTCTCAACAGGGCCAGTGGTCTGGGGCGTCGCAGGGGGGGTGTCTTGAGTGTGTTGTAGAGTGGAGTGTGGGGGTCTCTGCCCTAGTTAGTGACTTAAATAACAGTTTATCTCCAGTCCTAGGACTGTGGAAGGGGCATAGCCATGCCTATTTCCTTCAACACCAGGGTTCTTGGGATACTGGAATCCCCTTTTCCTCTTAACTGTTTTGCAGTCACTAATGCACTTCTTTTTTCCTTTCTGGTCACCAGGGTTCAGGCCCAGGCTCAGCAGTCCCAGGCGGCTCCGGCGTAGGAACTCCCAGACAGTTCACACGGCAAAGAATCACGCGGGTCAACCTCAGGGACCTCATATTTTGTTTAGAAAATGAGCGTGAGACAAGCCATTCACTGTTGCTCTACAAAGCATTCCTTAAGTAACAGGATGAGCCGGCGTTTCTGATGGGGTGCCTGCGGACGTTTTTATATATTTGCAGATTACGCCTTTTTGTAACAAGCAACCGGGATATTGTTTAAAACAGCCACCTCTTTACAATGGAGCAGTTTTATACTCCTGTTTCTAAATCAGCTCTTCAGTGCAGCAGAAACCGTGTCTGCAGCAGAGAGAATACAAAGGCCTGTGGATGCTCTTACAGGACAGCTGCCCCGAGCTCATCCTCGACTGAGTGGCCTTCTTGCCAAACAAGCCATATTAAAGACTGATGGAAGCGCTTAGCAAATAATTAGCAATTGCTCATCCTGTGTGCATTTGGTTCAGTTCACTCTGACTCACCCACTAAGTGTACATCTACAGCTGATGACCTCATTTCACTTATTTTACTGTTGTAGAAGTCAGTTGGCGAAGCAAACTGATTTTTAGACTATTTATCACCCCCACCCTGTCCCTTACCTCCCTTCTACATGAAATTCCCCAGGAATACAAGCTCCAAGCAGGGTCGAATTTCTGCTAGTGGAGGCCGGGGTGCAGCACCTGTACAAATACATTTTATTTGCTGCAGTTTGGAAGCTGTAAAGTGGAAGGAAATGAAAACCTTTTCAGCATAAATATATTTTACTTGCACTGTGTTTTTAGCTCAGAGTGAAAACTTAGATGAAATAAAATCAGAGTTGAGAAGAATCAACAACAGACTGTTTCTCAGTGTGGATCAAGTGTTGGAAATGGTTGGTGTATTTTGTCAGTAATTGTACATAATTTTTGGCACATACATAAAATGGCTATGTAAACTATAATTATTTTGCTAAGAGACTGTATGCAAGCTGTGGCCAACCTTACAGGCGTCCAGAGCAAAGTCCCTTCTTTGTACCTATTTTTTTATTACAAATATACTAATTGGTTCTTTATATTTTCAGAGGTTATTGTATTAAATTGTCTATTGATAGTACTTTTATGACTGTAAATACTTTGGCTTTCTCCGTGTGGATTCTCATGTTAGACTTTAATTCGCACGTGTGAACTGAACGCTGATCAGTATTTTTTACCGACACCTGAGAACTGTTACACCTTTCATTTTATCTTTTAGGAAATCCCTGTCTTTCCATTTTTTCATGTAAATTTTGCACAGTTACTTGTTCATATGTAAATATTTTACTTTCAAAAATGAAGTTTTTAATTGCTATTGTTTTATATAGGATTGAAAGAAAATTAACTCCTTTATTAAAAACAAATTTATCTGTATTTGTCGTGTCTGTTTTTCCAGTGTCTAAGTCTCTGATAATGCTACTAAGACTCCTCTCTGAATCTAGGGCTTAACTGTGAGGACAGGCTCCTTCAGTGGCTGGCGATAGGGCCAGGCCTCGGTTCTGTCCACCCAGAGGATACTAGAGGAGTTGTGCTCTTTGTGTTCCAGGCCTGTAGACCATTTGGGGGTGGACAGAGGGGTATGAGATAAGACTGGTAACCCAGTAAGCCTGGCCACAGGTAGCCACATAGAGAGGGGTGGAGTTTCTGTCACTCTTATGTTTGGGGTGGTCACAGTGAACCATGCCCCTCAACAGAGTGGAATTTATTCAAGGCCCAGCCGCCTGAGTCAGTGTAACTGGAGCTGGTCCCCACGGAGAGCCTTTACCCACCTGGTGTTAAGGCCCTGCAGGCAGGTAGTTAGGCTTAGCTGAAGACTCCTTGACACTCTCATAGCTGTAGTGATGAAAGGACACAGATCAGGGACCATGGACAAATGTCCTCATGTCCTGGCTGGCTGGCTGACTGGCTGGCTGGAGGTCTGAGGTCCAGGTAGTAAGGGTTGGCTTCCAGTGTTTCTCTGGTGGCCCTGGCCATGCAGAACAGCACCCTTTCTCCTTTCCCTCTCTCTGAGCAGCCCCTGGCTTGTGTTTGTTTGTGCTGAGGCTTCACTTTCTGTCAGAACACCAGTCTGGTTGGGTCAAGGATACCCAAGCAATATGATGTTAGCCTGATTGCCATAGTTGAAGACCTCTCTCCAAATACAGGCACATTTGAGGTCCTGGTGTTGGGACACCACCATAACCTTTGGGAGGGGACACAGTTCAACACCCAGAGCCTACAATATTGAGCAGTGAAAAATGAGACCTAAAGCTTGAGGGTAAAGGGCTGTGGACTTGTGGGCGCAGGTTCCTGTGGCCTCACTGTTCTTGTTGCTTGGCTTCCTGGCCTGCAACTGACTGTAAAGGACACTGGCTCTCTGTGCATGTAGTTGACTTGGTTTTCACTTTCTTGTTCTTCCTGCTGTGTCCAGTCCTCCAGGACAGCCACAGTGAAGACCTATGTCAGTACCCAGGTGAGATGATCCTGCCTGCACTGGTGGTATGTAGCCCCTAGGCTCTTCCACTATTACATTCATAAGACCACTTGATGCTTGAACCCAGCAGTATGACAGGAGTCGTCCCGGGTCCCATTTAACTATTTATACATCAAGGGATAGAGGGCAATGTGATAATGTGTCTCTTGTAAGGACAGGGACATGACAGGACTTCTCCACTCTCAGGGCACTGGTGGCTCACATCAGGCATAAGACAAGAAAAAAAAAAATGTTGACCAAATTTGGAGAGGAAGAACATGAAGAATTGAAGATGACATGGATGAGGGTAGTAGATGCTTGGCTGAGGCACTGTGAATTCAGTGCCGTATTCAAGGCCTTCAGCCAACTTGTAATTCTGCACACCACAGACAAATGAACAAATGATTAGAAAACTTCGGAACATGCTGTTAAAAGTAGCATACAAACACCTAGAAAGCATTTCGTGACGGCTGTGTAAGATAATAGTTTCCTGCTTCTGTGATAACATTTCTGATAGAAGTATCTTCAAGGAGGAAGGGTTTATCCTGGCTCATAGTTGGAAGGAGCAGTCCATCACGACAGGGAAGTCAGGGCAGCAGGAGCACAAAGCTTGTCCCAGGCTTCCAGTCAGTAGGCAGAGTGAGTGTGTGCCACCACTTAGCTCCCTTTCCCTAGCCACGGAATGATGTCACCCACTGTAGGGTCTCAGTGAAGTCAAGAAAACCACCCACAGGCAGGACCAGAGGCCTCTCTCCCAGGTGATTCTGTCAAGATGATAACACTAACCACCCCAAGATCCTCAGGCCAGATTAGAGAAGATCTGCCCAAAACTGTAGGTCAGTGGCTCTCAGTCTGAGGGTCAAGACCCCCCCAGGGCTCACACATTGTGTATATCAGATACTTACATTAAAATCCATAACCGTGAAATTACAGTTTTGAAGTAGCAGTAAAGTAACTGTTTTACTGAGGAACTGTGTTAAAAGGGTCACGGCCTTGGGAAGGTTGAGAACCACTGCCGTAGCTGGAGCAGTGCCATGACCTTTTGCAGAACTGCAGGCTGGATTTAGAGATTTACATGGAGATGAGGGCTTAGAAGAGTTGAGGTGACTGCTGTTCTGCCTTATTGGGGCAGCCTAATGGTGCTGTGCTCAGTGCTAGGGGTGGGGGCCAGTAAGCAGCAGACCCTCAGCTTGTGGTCACTAGACTGCAGGTGTGCCCACTGCGGGTGGTGTGCGTCACAGGGCTTTTGCTAAATGGCCATCATGTGGAGGACAGTCAGCATCCAGCCCCTTGTCACAGTAAATGAATCTGGTTTCCATAGCTGTGTGCTGCTCTCTTGAAGGGAAGATTCCACAGACTTTCTTAGTCAGGCCTGTCTGTGGCATGTACTGCTCCATAATAAACAATTCAAATAATTCAAATAGTGGAGACAGAGGAGACAGCAGTGCCCATTGAATCTCTCTGAGAAGAGTACTATTTCTGAAAAGTAAGATGTTACTTGGTGTCCTGAGATTGCTGTATCAATGAGACAGGCTAAAAATAAAGTGAAATGTAATTCCTTTTTAGAATGTTTTTAAAAAAGATTTCCTTGGAAAAATGTGTAATTGACAGGAGTAAGATCCTGCAGCTTGGGCACACAGGGTGGCTCAGCAGGTAAAGGTGTTTTTTGCCACCAAGCCTGCTGACCTGAGTTCAGTCCCTGAGACCCACACGGTGGGAGGCAAGACTGTCTCACAAATTGGCCTCTGCCCTTCACGTGTTCTTTGGTGCACGCGTGAATGTGCGTGCGCACATGCACACACCACACAGATGTGAGTCCTGAAGCCTGGTAGATGACTTTTCACTTTTCTCATGACTTTGGCTAAACTATGTGTTCTTTGTCACATGCATGCGCACACATTTACATGAGAAACAAGCAGGGAAAAGCTTGTTTTGCCTTACAGTTTGGAGTGTACCATGGCATCATGGGCGAGTCATGGCGGCAGGAGCCCCGAGGTGGCTGGTCACACTGAATCCATCAGGAAACTGGGAGACGTGGATGCTGGGGCTCAGCTGCCCTTCTCCATTTTATTCACTCCAGGAATCTAGCCCATGGGGTGGTGCTCCCCACATTAGAGCAGATCTAAAAACCTTCACCTGACCTAGAGACCCCGTCCACAGATCAGCCCTGTAAAGTTGGTCTCCCTAGATCATCCTGTAAAGTTGACATTATTAACCATCGCTCCCACCCTCCCCCATTTGTGGGACAGAGCTCAGATCTCAAAAGTGTGTGGACTCATTTGTACTTGATGAAGCTCAGAGATTCCCAAAGGGCTCAAGACATTCAGGTAACGGGAGCATCCCATAACAACACCCAAGAACACTTACGGGGACGTGGAAATACCCATAACCTAAGAAAGGTTGAAGTCATAACATCGGGTCGCCAGATGCTCAAAGAAACAGAAACAGCTGAAATGAGGAGAAAACGGCAACTACAATAACAACAGCAACAACAAAAACCGACTGATTAAAATGGACCTAGAAATGTGACATGGAAAAAAATCCAGCCGTTGAAAAATCTCAGTACTGGAGAAGAGGAGAGATGGCTGAGTGCAAGCAGCTACAGGGTTTTCCACAAAGCTGCCCCAGCCAGGACTACAGCATCTAGAAGGAGATGCCCCACACGTGACACTGTGGAAGACAGGTGGGAGCAGACCAAAGCCACAAAAATCACATGACACACCACGCTGCTGGAATAAAGCCACTGTGTGTAGGAAACTCCATGTGGACAGTGGAAGTTATTCATTCAAGTTCCAAGAGGGGAAACAGAAATTTGGATAACAGTGGAGGATGCCTTTGTAAACATTATGTGGATTGTGTTTGTCTGTGTGTGGGGATGGGCATGTGGGTGCAGCCGCCTGAGGAGGCCAGAGGTGTTTGCGTCTCCTGATGCTGGGGTCGCTGGCAGTCCTCATTAGAGCTAGACTCTTAACTGTTTGTTGGACCATCTCTCCGGCTTCAGAAAACTTTGATTTGTTTTTCAAATTTGATGAAGCCCAAGCTCAGTAAGATTCAGGCATGTGAAATATGAAGGAAAAAGCAATGTGGAGGTACGTTAAACTCAAAAAAAAAAAAAAAAAGAAGGAAAAAAATTTAAGGAACAAAATAAGGATAAGAAGCTGGGCACACACTTTAATCCCAGCACTCAGGGAGGTAGAGGCAGGTGGATCTCTGTGAATTCAAGGCCAGCCTGGTCTACAAAGGGAGGACACCAAGGCTACACAGAGAAACTTGTCTCGAAAACAAAGAAACAAAAAAAGATATTTTTGTTGGAAGAACTACAAGCAAGGACATGATGACACTGCATACTTGAAGCACTGAAAGAAAAAATTAAAGTTTTTACCCAATAAAAATGTCTTTTTAAAAAGGCTTTCAGAAATGGAAAAATTGCAAGACTTCTCAGAGGGCTACCACATAAAATTCTGATATCCTCTCAGATGTCAGGTAGTGCTGCGTCCCCCAGAGAGGGCCAAGGGACTGGAGAGATGCATTTGAAGCCCACTAACCAACAGACCATGAAGAGGAACCCCAAAGGCAAGACCTGAGCAGAGAAGCCGCCAGAGCAGATGTGCCTATGGAAAGATGCTTGGTCACCAACCACTAAGGAAACACCCATTGGGACCTCAGCAAGGTGACTTTGCACACTGCAAGAATGCTGCTGAACACGATGGCTAAATGCTGGGAGGAATGCAGCTCTATTTGTGATATGCAGGGGTTCCACTATTGTGGACCGGCACGGAGGTTTCCTGGGAAGTGAAGCACGGGCCACCCCAGAGGAAGGTCTGTCCCAGCAGACACTGCAGCGAGCTTGATTCAGTCAGTCACTGCGGGAAGCAGGCATGCCGGTGAAACAAGCGCCTAGTATACCTTCAGAGTGGGAAGC